AATAATATAATGATAAAATCGAATAATATAATGATGACATCATATAATATAATGATAAAATCAAATCACATAATGATGATATCAAATAATATAATGATAAAATCGAATAATATAATGATAAAATCGAATAATATAATGATAAAATCAAATAATATATTGATGCAATCATATAATATAATGAAAATATCAATTCATATAGTATTTTTATGCCATATGTGACAGCTATGGCGTTCCATAATTCTTACTTTGACATTACTATCTAGCGGAAACCTTCCAAGTTCTCCGTATATCATAAAGTTCGGTGTAGACGTTTTAACATTAAATGTGTTTGCAAAATTTTAAATGTAAACATTCGATAAGTTTATAGTTACAGAAACCCAAAACTTCACATCCATATAAAACAAAAAGTTTGATGGCTTTGTCAAATATATCAAGTTGACAATCTATTGACAAATTATGATCCTTACATTTGGAAATAGCACCATACTTTGCTTTTAAACCTTTACCATACAGTTGTTTAATATTAAACTGTGTCAAACCATAATGCATTATATCCCTCTACGGATGAACTTTGTTGTTATGTTGTTACCATTGACCCTGATTAATAATAATTACCTGTTAATTCACCAGTATGTTTCATGTTTCCATTTATATAAGGTATGTTGTGCTGACGAGTAAACACCATGAGGGATACACCATGTGGCCATCCGCACATTCCTGGAACTGGAACGCCATGGACGTCGGGCCGCATCGGGACCTTGTCGGTATCTATATATTGTCCATAGTTTAGCATATGGTTGTAACCCCATCAGTTAACCAGTCAATAGGCAAAACACAGCTAACCCAGACCGTGGTGGAGAAGTACCACAGAGGGGACATGTTTTCCGCAAAGATCAGTTTCTTACAGCCCGTAAATGCGGCACCCTGTATTTTAGTAAACGCAATTTTCTGAAAAGACACATACTTTTATATCCATTATAAAGATTTTAAAAACATTGATTTAAAGGTTTGAATATAAAACAAAATAGCAACCGTAAACCATCACATATGTCGTTTACATATGTCCTATTAACCGTCCGACCAGCGTAAGTTTTTCTTATCTACATACATCATAGTAATATTGTGACCTTGACCATTGATACATGTAACTTCCTTCTCATCCAGGTGAGCTAGCCAATGCTGTCCGAAACAAGACCGCCATGTTTTTCGGGTTGTATCATTCCCTGTTTGAGTGGTTCAACCCCCTGTATCTGGGAGATAAGGCAAACAAGTTCCACACCCAGAACTTTGTCAGGGTATGTTTTCCTCATTAAATAATAAACATGCATCCGATTTGTAAACAAAAGATAGTGTTTAAAAGTTGTATTGTCAGTTAACCATTTTAACTACATACATATATGCCTTTATTGGTATACATACTCTATATCAGTGCCTGATTTGACTAAAACTCACTGTTACACGCAGGAGAAGACTCTCCCCGAGCTGTACGAGATTGTGAACAGGTACAAACCCGATATCATCTGGTCGGACGGAGACTGGGAGGCCCCCGACTCCTACTGGAACTCCACACAATTCCTAGCCTGGCTCTATAACGACAGGTATTACCCTAAACACTATCATACACCATCAGTAAGACTAGCTAGCCCAATATACCGTACAGACACAACCAGCCATGCACACTATCTTTAAAGGTATGACCGCCAATCCTACCCTGCCTTACATGTGCCGTGCCCCTTCCACTCCTAACCTTTACAGGTGCCCAAACCATGCCTGCAGGTATATAAGCAGCCAATTCCTGTAAGCAGAGATGTATAAAGCTTAATCGCTAAAAATGTAGAGTTTTGAGTGGAAATGTGTCACTAGAAGAAACAATGTACCTAGTTATATAGACTGGCCACCGTCTCTAGAATATTGAATAATTAAGAAAACAATTTTAACTCTAAAATTTGATCACTTTGATGTCTGATTCTAAGTTCTAAACTAGGGGAGATAAGCTAGTAGTAAAATGCAGCCGAGAAATTCTTCATACAAACTTAGGGGCTGGTAGCCAGTCTTCTAGTTTTATATCATACTCACATTTTACAGATCGTACATAATATTGTATTTCAGCCCTGTGAAGGACACTGTGCTGACCAATGACCGATGGGGAAGTGGAGACATGTGTAAACACGGGGGCTATTTCACCTGTTCTGACCGGTACAATCCAGGTACGTATTTCCTAACCGATACAATCGAAGTACGTGTACTGACCGGTACAATCCAGGTACGTATACTGATGGTTAATCCAAGTACATATCCTAACAGGTACAATCGAAGTACCTGTACTGACTGGTACAATTCAGGTACGTGTACTGACTGGTACAATCCAGGTACGTGTACTGACCGGTACAATCCAGGTACGTATACTGATGGTTAATCCAAGTACATATCCTAACAGGTACAATCGAAGTACGTGTACTGACCGGTACAATCAAGGTACGTATACTGACCGGTACAACCCAGGTACGTATACTGACCGGTACAATCCAGGTACGTATACTGACCGGTACAATGCAGGTACGTATACTGATGGTCAATCCAAGTACATATCCCAACAGGTACAATCGAAGTACGTGTACTGACTGGTACAATGCAGGTACGTATACTGACCGGTACAATCCAGGTACGTATACTGATGGTCAATCCAAGTACATATCCTAACAGGTGCAATCGAAGTAAAGGTACTGACCGGTACAATCCAGGTACGTGTACTGATAAACACAAAGCATACAGGTAAAATCCAGTTCCTCATATTACATGTAACAGGTAAACCCCAGAAACCTATGCCCAGAGTTATCCACACCAACACATATTTCTCATCGAGTGGAAATATTTATCAACAAGAACTCTATACTTATATGGCAATTTCTAAAGGAAAGAGACATATATTGACTGTGCTTTTTTTACTTACACCATTTTGTGGAGAAGTTCAGAGAGTGAAAGATAAGATGAATGACGAGAAAGACGCTACTAAAGTCTGTAAGAGAGATCTAAATATGGGGTACTAAGGGAAGCATGGTGGTGTTTTCCTCTGTGAAAAGGGTTATCAGAAGTTATTAGAAGGCCTATAGCGTGTTTTTCAAAAAACATCACATAGCTACATTTTTGAGACCACGCCAAACAATAAGCGACATGCGATGGCAACAAAGAGAGCTTACACTGCAACATTTACGACTCGTTGTCGGTAGATACGACTCTTTAGCACCGCGACCTTTCCTGAGGTCAGAAAGGAAAACGTTATTAACAGAAAAGCACAAGATTGTCACGACTGACCACTTCAATACTAACACTTACGTCATCATTAGAATCCTGCATGATGTCATCGATTTAGGAAGGACATACCATATAAGATCGAGAAAATAACCAGAGGCAGATAAAATTGAAAATTATCGAAGCCATCTAGATACGACAATCGGCCAACATGATGAGACGTAATCAAATGCATGCCGGCTCAGTACTGACCTGCTCTTCACTGTGTAACCACGTAGTGGCTTGTCTTCACTCCAACTTTCGTCTAGTGACGCGGTGCGCTTTAGGAACTGGATTTGCCTTTCAATTTCCCTACCTGTGCGACAATGAGTTTTCTCTTCCACAAGTCACTTTGTATGAGAATAACAAAATAGTTCATTCTAAGGCGAGCTTGTTTCGCTTATAACAAGTTCATTACCAGAGTACTTTTTCAAACAACGGATTAATTTTTGGAAATATAAATTGTGTTTTCATTTTATTTTATGACCATACGGATATATCAATAAAACAAAGTTAATGATGAAATGAGATGATGAAGAAAAAAGGTTAAGGTTGGAAAACAATCGTACTGCAACCCTGAGGGAGTACATGTCAGTTTATTGTGGTGGCGATCATAGCATTTGCTTAACAATATCAATTCCCTTCAAAGAATATTTATTTCCCAACAGACTTGATAGACTTATAATACTTCCCTGTAGTTGGTGTAGATGTTATTTTGGTAAGTTCGTACTATTCAATGTTCGTGAGGTGAGTGATATAAACTCATCTATTTTGTAACATTTTCTGATCTACATGTGAAATCATTTATCATATATTTTATGGTCAAAGTGAAGTTTGCAGAAAATATAGAAAATCGAAACATTAATATTAGTATTTATTTTATTTTTAATAGGCGTTCTCCAGAAGCATAAATGGGAAAACGCTATGACACTGGACCAGAAGTCGTGGGGATACAGGAGAGATACGGATCTATCTGACGTGCTTACTATACAGGAACTCATTGCTACACTGGCGGAGACCGTTAGGTACGGTATTGGTAACGTATAGTAAAGCCGGAATCAATGATCGTGTTTCAGAAACAAAACACGCTTTGATACATGTAACATGAAAGTCTGGTTCATATCAACTTATATTTGTTTATACATTGTAACATATAGTCTGTCCATTAGTTAGGCGGACAGGGTTTCCTGATTCTGAGTCCCTAACCCTAAGCCACAAGGCGGCTGAACGGGGAGCCAGAAGAATGGGATTAAATAACAATTTTCAGATATCTACAAAAGAACAAAAATGCCAAAGTTAAGCCGTCAGTTATATGGAGGTTTCATGTATTTAGTGTTATCATACAGAGTCCTTCCAGTCCTTAATAGCGCCACACATAGGAGTGAAATACTGGGTTTATAGAGAGGTTTATGAAAGGAAAAGCAAAAGGTATATCTTAAGAAGCTGTATAGATTTTCAAAAATATGGTAAGATGTATTATGTTAATAAAGGGCCCCCCCCCCCCTACAATTTTGTGCTCTGCTTCTCATGGAAGCGCAAGACATGGAAATACAGTTTAGGTATTTCACCATTGTCGGATGGTAAACAAACAAAGGATACAGTTTTGTCACATAGTCTCTGATCTCGGATGTGGTCAAATCATGGTGTCACAGTTTACATAGGATTATATATGATAAAGTGTATGCTTTTCGAATGCGTCTGAACATAACATGTCACTGTAACTAATAATGAGTAAGTAAACTAACTTACCTGATACCAGCAATAAACAAAGTATTTGATAGAAATGTCATATAGTATCATAGCTACATCCCTATTTGAAATACCCCTTTTCACCAAATTCAAGTTGGGAAAGTATTTCTTTATCTTGAAAACCAAATAAGTAGTTTCAAAGACTACCACGTTTAAACCTTTTAGATAGTCAGTACGCTTTCCTTGTTTCAGGGTTAGACGTTTAAACCTTTTAGATACTCAGTAAGCTTTCCTTGTTTCAGGGTTAGACGTTTAAAACTTTTAGATACTCAGTAAGCTTTCCTTGTTTTAGGGTTAGACGTTTAAAACTTTTAGATACTCAGTAAGCTTTCCTTGTTTCAGGGTTAGACGTTTAAAACTTTTAGATACTCAGTAAGCTTTCCTTGTTTTAGGGTTAGACGTTTAACCCTTTTAGATACTCAGTAAGCTTTCCTTGTTTTAGGGTTAGACGTTTAACCCTTTTAGATACTCAGTAAGCTTTCCTTGTTTTAGGGTTAGACGTTTAACCCTTTTAGATACTCAGTAAGCTTTCCTTGTTTCAGGGTTAGACGTTTAAAACTTTTAGATACTCAGTAAGCTTTCCTTGTTTCAGGGTTAGGCGTTTAAACCTTTTAGATACTCAGTAAGCTTACCTTGTTTTAGGGTTAGACGTTTAAACCTTTTATATACTCAGTAAGCTTTCCTTGTTTCAGGGTTGGACGTTTAAACCTTTTAGATACTCAGTAAGCATCGCTTGTTTCAGGGTTAGACGTTTAAACCTTTTAGATGCTCAGTTATCATTCCTTGTTTTAGGGTTAGACTTTTAAACCTTTTAGATACTCAGTAAGCATCGCTTGTTTCAGGGTTAGACGTTTAAACCTTTTAGATTCTCAGTAAGCATTCCTTGTTTCAGGGTTAGACCTTTAAACCTTTTAGATACTCAGTAAGCATCCCTTGTTTTAGGGTTAGACGCTTTAACCTTTTAGATACTCAGTAAGCTTTCCTTGTTTCAGGGTTAGACCTTTAAACCTTTTAGATACTCAGTAAGCATTCATTGTTTCAGGGTTAGACGTTTAAACCTTTTATATACTCAGTAAGCTTTCCTTGTTTCAGGGTTAGGCGTTTAAACCTTTTAGATACTCAGTTATCATTCTTTGTTTTAGGGTTAGACGTTTAAACCTTTTAGATACTCAGCTATCATTCCTTGTTTTAGGGTTAGACGTTTAACCCTTTTAGATACTCAGTAAGCTTTCCTTGTTTTAGGGTTAGACGTTTAAAACTTTTAGATACTCAGTAAGCTTTCCTTGTTTCAGGGTTAGACATTTAAACCTTTTAGATACTCAGTAAGCTTTCATTGTTTCAGGGTTAGACGTTTAAACCTTTTAGATTCTCAGTAAGCATTCCTTGTTTCAGGGTTAGACGTTTAAAACTTTTAGATACTCAGTAAGCTTTCCTTGTTTCAGGGTTGGACGTTTAAACCTTTTAGATACTCAGTAAGCATCCCTTGTTTTAGGGTTAGACGCTTTAACCTTTTAGATACTCAGTAAGCTTTCCTTGGTTTAGGGTTAGACCTTTAAACCTTTTAGATACTCAGTATGCTTTCCTTGTTTCAGGGTTAGACGTTTAAAACTTTTAGATACTCAGTAAGCTTTCCTTGTTTTAGGGTTAGACGTTTAACCCTTTTAGATACTCAGTAAGCTTTCCTTGTTTTAGGGTTAGACGTTTAAAACTTTTAGATACTCAGTAAGCTTTCCTTGTTTCAGGGTTAGGCGTTTAAACCTTTTAGATACTCAGTTATCATTCTTTGTTTTAGGGTTAGACGTTTAAACCTTTTATATACTCAGTAAGCTTTCCTTGTTTCAGGGTTAGACATTTAAACCTTTTAGATACTCAGTAAGCATCCCTTGTTTTAGGGTTAGATGTTTAAACCTTTTAGATACTCAGTAAGCATTCCTTGTTTTAGGGTTAGACGTTTAAAACTTTTAGATACTCAGTAAGCTTTCCTTGGTTTAGGGTTAGACCTTTAAACCTTTTAGATACTCAGTAAGCATCCCTTGTTTCAGGGGTAGACGTTTAAACCTTTTAGATACTCAGCTATCATTCCTTGTTTTAGGGTTAGACGTTTAAAACTTTTAGATACTCAGTAAGCTTTCCTTGTTTCAGGGTTAGACCTTTAAACCTTTTAGATACTCAGTAAGCTTTCCTTGTTTCAGGGTTAGACATTTAAACCTTTTAGATACTCAGTAAGCATTCATTGTTTCAGGGTTAGACGTTTAAACCTTTTATATACTCAGTAAGCTTTCCTTGTTTCAGGGTTAGGCGTTTAAACCTTTTAGATACTCAGTTATCATTCTTTGTTTTAGGGTTAGACGTTTAAACCTTTTAGATGCTCAGTTATCATTCCTTGTTTTAGGGTTAGACTTTTAAACCTTTTAGATACTCAGTAAGCTTACCTTGTTTTAGGGTTAGACGTTTAAACCTTTTATATACTCAGTAAGCTTTCCTTGTTTCAGGGTTGGACGTTTAAACCTTTTAGATACTCAGTAAGCATCGCTTGTTTCAGGGTTAGACGTTTAAACCTTTTAGATGCTCAGTTATCATTCCTTGTTTTAGGGTTAGACTTTTAAACCTTTTAGATACTCAGTAAGCATCCCTTGTTTTAGGGTTAGATGTTTAAACCTTTTAGATACTCAGTAAGCTTTCATTGTTTCAGGGTTAGACGTTTAAACCTTTTATATACTCAGTAAGCTTTCCTTGTTTCAGGGTTAGACATTTAAACCTTTTAGATACTCAGTAAGCATCCCTTGTTTTAGGGTTAGACGCTTTAACCTTTTAGATACTCAGTAAGCTTTCCTTGTTTTAGGGTTAGACGTTTAACCCTTTTAGATACTCAGTAAGCTTTCCTTGGTTTAGGGTTAGACCTTTAAACCTTTTAGATACTCAGTAAGCTTTCATTGTTTCAGGGTTAGACGTTTAAACCTTTTAGATACTCAGTAAGCTTTCCATGTTTCAGGGTTAGGTTGGGACGTCATTGGAGACCAGAATATAAATAGTCGTTACCATAAAGCACTATATAATATTCAGTATTCGAATCTTGGTATTACTGTCGCTATAACTGACTGAACTAATATCATCCATGACCTAACAGTGCGTAAAAAGAACACATGGAATGCTTTCATTTAAGATATCGTTTTACACACAAGCGAATTGTATATTGATATACTTATCTCCTTTAAATTATAAATATAGAATAGTTCTTTTGTTAACAGGCAAATATTTATGTACGGCAATAATTCAAATACCAAATTGACTATGTGAATTCCTGATAAGATCATTGGAATAATGATCCAACCTCATAGATTTTAATTGGTTTTCAGAACATCATTGTCTTCTCAGTTCCCCCAGGGATTAGCTGTTAAGAAAATAATACAATTTTCATAAGAATTTGTAAAAAACAAAGTGATTTAACATGAGAAGTAATGATCATATTATGGTTATAGTATACTATATTGAATTTATATAATTCTATGTCATTTTATAAGGAAGGTAAATGCTTTATATTGGTATATTACGTAAATATGCAACATAATGATGAACAGGATACTTGCAATAATAATAACCATAACGTTATAAATAAATAATATATTTGGAGAAGCTGACCAATATTTCAATGTTCCAATGTTCCAAAATAGCTAAAACTCCAAAAAGCAATATTTTAGTAAGCATGTTCAATTTTATGCTATGAGGAAATATACGCTTTCCCTTTGAAATAGTACTAGTATTAAAGGACTTGTTTAGAGCAAAGGAAATAACAACATAATGACGTTTTCATAAGTCATATGCTAGTCTACATTGTATGATATATCACTTAACATGCAGGCCTATACGCTTATCAATGACATATGCTTTATGTGTGCGAGATATTTATTTGAAAAGATAACGCAATACACTTTCCCTGCCCATATATCTTAACATCTGATGCTGTAAATCATACATTCTTTTTTTTTTTGTAATGGTTTTATTTTTCATTACATATACATAAACAGGACATTCACGCATTCTCACATATATCACATATACACACACGGACATGGATTAAGCATTATCACAATCAATTTCATTGTCATCATTCTATCATCATCAACATATCATCATCATCATTATCTTTATCATCTTCTTCATCCTCTTTCATATATACTTATTCAATCATCATCATTGCCATAATCCATCATCATCCAAAATCTTCA